ACACACACACACACACACACACACACACACACACACACACACACACAATATGCCAAATAAAAAAAATACAAAAAAACACCTGCTTTATAACAATTTGATGCTGTTATTTAAAAAATAAATTATAATGGCCAGATTATAATTCGCACTGTTAATACAATAGTGTATTAACCAAAAAGTGTATTTTTTCAGAATCTGTGTAAAACGAATTATTCACTTCCTGTGAAAGATCATTAAAATTTATGTATAAGTTAAAGTTTCTAGCAGACATTTGAACAATTTTCCTACTTGCAAAGTATATTTGAAAATGAAAGGGAAAAATAATTTCATATTTCTGAGTAAGGATTGTTTTGGCCAGAACTAGCTTACATAAAGCTTGTCTCATTTTGAATTAAGTAGATATATTTTAATTGTTTCTTACAATATTCCAACGACGGTTTTATTGTCGTGAAAAGAATTAAGTTTTACTTTCAGCAATGATAATATATAATCTTGAACTTCAAATATTCTGAGTTACAACACTATTGTAATAGCAGTGCAATATCATAGCCGTGTCACAGAAATGAGAACGTTTTTAGCCTACGTAAACGCGCGTCAGCTGCGCGTATACGCGCGCCGCAGACGCGCTGTAATGAATTGATTCAAACGCGCGCAAACATCGCGTTGCAAGCAAGAAGCTTATTATACTCCACTGGTGTTTACAATTAGAATTTCAATTAGTTGCTTTATTTCAAAAAGTAACTGAAATTAACAAACAAAACTAAAATTTATATTACCTCATATCAAAATGCGCTATATATGCGTACGAATACAGCGCGTCTGCGGCGCGCAGACAACACGCGTCATCTGCGCGTATAAAATACGCTAAGTGCATAGGCTCTTAAGAATTATGACGTACGACATAAACAATCGACCAAACAGACATTACCGTTCCTTCACGGTTTTTTGGACAATAGACTGGCATTGGTATAAATATTTTCTATTGTTATTGCCCATAGATATAATCAGTTTACCTTCATCGGAGTCTGCCCTTTTCCCGTACCCCCGGGCGATAAGAATATTTGAATTGGGTTTGAACGTCCCCCTCCGTTTTCTTATACACTCTGAAGAATGTCAATTCATTGTGGTTATTAGTATTAGAGGGATTTGTAGCTTTAAGTCGCGAAGATCTGTGAGAATCGCATCATTTTTTATTTGTTTCCACTTTGATGGAAATAGTTCTTGGTAAGTAAGAAAGTATGACGGCATAAATATTATATATATCGTCTTCAATATCGAATTAGTATTTAGCAACAGAATCAGCAGATTCGTAGATTTCGCTTACAACATTTTCAATAAAGACAGGACTTTAAAGTATTACAATTATTATGATGTGGTTGAAGTCGAAAATAACTTTAAATAAGAAAAAAAAACTGTAAGCGAGCTTTTAGCTCCTTTTACTTTTACGCAAAAGCTCTAAATATTGCTTTTAGAAAATTGATCTAAACTGTTTCATCTTTTGGCTTGTTTTTTTCAAAATCCCCAATTCGTGGCCTTTGACTATGTTTATCAAGGTCAAGAGCTTTATAATTATTGCAGAGTGAATGCGGTTGTTCAAAATTATAAGATTGAAGCATTATTTTGCTTTTAAAAAGCGTTCAGCATCAGCGTAATAGGAAGTTTACCTTCGTCGTCGCTTCTTTTGCCAAAATTCTGTGCCACCAATAATTTGCTTCTAGGATTGAACTCCCTGCGAAACGGCGCCTCGTAGCCTATTTGTTCTTGTTCTGTACCATGATATTTGGAATGGTGAATGTTAGATATTATTCCTGAAGTGCCCATACTATTACGTTACTACGGTCTCACCTGATATGCTAGTTAATGCCTATTCAGATCTATGTGTTATTATTTCATGCGCGTTTAACGCGTGCCAACATTAGGTCTCGAAAGACCTATTTTGGTTCAGTCCACCATTTACGCTCTATATGATATGATTGTGTCATTCTTTCGCGCAAATTCTCTAAAATCGCAGCAAAATGACTTATTGTGCTGTTTTGGAGTGCAAAAATATTAGCTGCACCAAAAATATTATCCGTTGTAGCATTCGTCATCATCGATATGTCTTATTTTAATAAATTTTCTATATACCGAATTTATTCAGATGTTAATCGTTCGTCGTAGTCCAGCTACTGGCCGCAGATGGCAGCACGTTGAATACAATTTCAATATAGAATCAAAACGTCGTAACTTGCAATAAAGGTGTTGAACTTTCAACGATATGGCGACTGGGTAAAGTTTAAAATATATTAACAATCCAGAATTTTATAACGTTTTTTTTTTTAAATGGAAACTGACCAATTATTATCAAAATTTCGTAGTGTTTATCACTTGTTTGTGTGCGTTTTGGTGACAGAGGCTCCGATAGTCATCGAGGCTTACGGCACTTCCATTGTTTTTTTCTTAGCAGTTAGCAGCTTTATATTATCTCTAACTCTTTCAGTATTTATTTACGCTATTATAACTATGATTTAATATAGTAAAGGTGATCGATAAATTAACATTTTATGGGCACTTCAGAAATAGTTGATTGTTCCTTGTGTGTTAACAGACTTTCGTTGACTTTTCGTTTCGTGTTCACACAAAAAATGATGTTTAAAATTTGAATGTTTAATATGACAAATAACCAGTAATTTTTCGAATAAAAACAGTAGAATTATAAACGTAGCGTGTATTATCGAGTTCAAATTGTGTTGCTAAGTGGTTTCTTAGAAATAAAAACGAACCCACGATGTATCATCAGCACTACACATTCAAGGTATAATAGATTTCTGACGAAAGGGGTCCCTTTCTTCTGATTAAATAGAAATATAATACGGTTGGGCGTAAAATATGTGTCGATTTAGATTAATTCAGGTGGCTGGATAAGCCGGAAAGCGACAGAGCGGGGGAATGATACTCAGCTGAAAAATTGGCCGCTGTTGGACTAAATTAAAAGATGTATATTATATTACTCTATTGTCAAACCAGAGCCGACGCTCAACGAATCCAGAGCCACTGCCTCTAGCTATTGGATTAATGAAAACCAGCCATATACAGGGTAAAATACTAACAACCATAAACAACAACTTTTATTTTATGACCTTTTACAAAACATAATATATTTATCAAAAATAGACTTTTAAGGTTTTTTGTTGTACTGTCTAACACTTTTTAGGTTTACTTAATTTTTTAACATATTCGTATTTTTTCATATTATTTTGACAATTTCATAATACAATTCATTCCTAATTCATCCAGTAATTCCCTTATTTCATATTATTTTATATATTAGGTATCTATATTTTCGTCAGCTGTGTGTAATTATATACTCCCGGACACATAATTCCTACCACCTTGCATTTTCAATATTAAACGCCCTTAGCTTAAACATTGCTTGATTGATCAAGAACTATTATGCGACTTTGAAACTGGTATAATAAATACTTATTGAAAATTTGAATTTAAAAAACCGGATACACTTCTTTTTTTTTCTTCGACGATAACTATATTTTTTATATTCTTAAGGATAAAAAGGCGGGGTGGCTCGAATTATACGTCCGGGATTGTATTATTTTTCTTTGCATAAACGGTGTACAATTATAAATGGATAACAGTCACAAGGAGTTGTAATGATAATGCTATTTTACTGTATCAAACGTACAAGCGTCCTCCCCGTCGTGCTCCACACCCGTTCCTGGTTTTGCCTCAAATTAGTATTTATGCTAGCGCTTTCTTTAGTTACTGCACAGAGTTATCACGATTTAGAGCGATCTATTTAAATGTGGTTTGCACGAAAGTTCAATCGGATGAATTATTAAAAGTCACAAACAAAAGTTGTAGTGGGTGTTAATAATATTTAACAAATAACCTTGTATTATATCCGCCAGACCGCCATTCCATGCGTCTAATTTTTCAGCTATAGTCCATAGCAGACCTGGTCCGTAGTTAAACATCTGTTACACCTTCAATGTGTCTTAAAATCTAAGTGTCCCACTCTACTGACATTCGAGAGGGTGACTTAAACTAAACGAAATACAATTGAAGTAATAAAGAGGTGGTATTGTTTTATTTGACCGTTTCGGAGTTTGATCACGCATCTGTGAGATTTTAAGCGCCTACAAAGCGTCTGCCTAATGCTCAACCATTCTTAAATGGAGTTTGTTCACGACACCTAGTTCGAACATTACTGTGACATTTTTTAAGGATACTTTGATAAAACTAATTAAAAACCCGTCGTTGATATTGATCGTCCATTTTATGCACCAGTTTTTGTTTAACATGAACAATACGACAAGCTGCTATTACTAGTATCATGTACCATGAAAACAGTGTTTTTAGAATCTCAAATCATCTTTGCTTCATGGTAAGTAAAAGTACTTGAAATCATATTGATTCAACTCTACTGCTCATTAGTAAGGCAGATTCCCCTGAGAAGAATGAGTCAGAAACTCTAGGGGTTGCTCTTTGTAAATATACATTTATTTGAATACATTTATCATTCACAATATTTATTACCTACCTGCAAGAATTAAACGGGTCACTACCACGGATTTTTACGGACCTTTAGTAAAGTTTTTGTTTCACAATAGTTTTAATTTTTTATATGTTATATAGTAAATTGTACAGGAGGTCACAAGCGACCATAGTTACGTTGTAAAGTTATCGTAGTCGTCAAGTATGTCTGTGCTCATTACAGTAATTTAGTAAGATGCCTTTTAGTAAATAACATTTCAAAATGTCACAGTAAGTAAATTGAAGAAGTTAACATAACACCTTTATCTCAGCAGTAATTGCAAGTATTCGAGAGGGGGGGTGTCAAGGTAACTTCTTTTCATTCATTTCATTTATTATATTGTACAAAATTAAAATAAAATCTTTATACAATTAAGAATATCAAAGAATCAGGAAGTTTCAGTACAACAGTAATAGTAAAGTGTTATTTAATTTTTTTAACTGTAAAAATTATAGTCATATTACGGTTATTTGCATAAAGATATCTCTTTTAATTAGGTACAAAGTAAACCACTGTCTGGACTGTGTCGTAATCCCACAGTTTAGTATTTATTTTTGACATTGACCGGTTTGCGAGTTAGGTACCGTTTGCCCTCATAGGATACCATTTAGCAAATCTGGTACCAATCTTGTCTTGAGAGGGTACCAATTTTCATAAATTGGGTACCTTCAACTTGTTCCGGCGTTCTTTTCCCAAAATCCCTGGCTATCCCCACTGCTGGAGATTTAAATGTGGGCGTCCCACGATTGATACGTCCTGCCGATTGGTGTACGTCTCCTTTACAAATAAACGAAAATTTCAAATAAAATAGTCGAAAGAGTTGTACCATTATTTTTTAAAGGTGGTCGAATTTATGTCCCTACTATATGAACTACAAGTTCTAAGTTCAAGCAAGATGTAGTATCAAAATCAAACAAAGTTATTATAAGTGTAAAACTGTCTTCATAGCTTTATGAAAATAGTCCATATTAACACACAAGTCTCTCCCGATTTTCAATATTTTTCTTCTCCTACTCAAATAACATCTAAAAATAGCTTTAAGTAACTCGGGATCTCACTGTTTTCATTAGAGTACGTAAGAATAATACCTATCTTCAAAATAAAGCTCCAAATAACAGTAGAGCTCCTTGCGAAGTACTAACGCCATATCTATTTCTGGCGCCAAGTAACAATGCTTGTATAGCGTTTCGGTTTTGAAGGTTAATGGGTCTTTTCGACTTAAAACTCTAAGTGGTCCTCGCTGAAACTATTATGGGCCAGGCTCACGACTTGTTCATCCCGTCGCTTATCATAAAAAGAAAAGATTCAAGAGCCGGATTTAGTGCCGCTGCTAATCCGTACAGAGCTATGCGGGACTTTTATCGATGATTGATCGGACCCTGCCCACATTTA